ATTAGGAAAACAGACCAAGGGATAAAGCTCAAACCATATGACCAAATTGAAAAGATGTTAATAGGGTGGCTGCATTACCACCAGATTAGTGACTTATTAAAAAAAAAGGTAAAGGTACCCCTGCCCGTACGGGCCAGTCTTGCCAGACTCTAGGGTTGTGCGCTCATCTCACTCTATAGGCTGGGAGCCAGCGCTGTCCGCAGACACTTCCGGGTCACGTGGCCAGCGTGACAAGCTGCATCTGGCGAGCCAGCGCAGCACATGGAACGCCGTTTACCTTCCCGCTGGTAAGCGGTCCCTATTTATCTACTTGCACCCGGGGTGCTTTCAAACTGCTAGGTTGGCAGGCGCTGGGACTGAACGACGGGAGCGCACCCCGCCGCGGGGATTTGAACCGCCGACCATGCGATCGGCAAGTCCTAGGCGCTGAGGTTTTACCCACAGCGCCACCCGCGCTTATTAAGGGAAGATAAAAAGAGAAATGGGTTCGAAGATAAAAAATTGAAATTGGAAGGAGGGTTTGAGATTTACAGGATGCATGGCTTTAAAGGAAAACTTACTAAAAATGATGTATAGATGGCATTTGACGCCAGTAAAATTAGCTAAAATGTACAGGAAAAAAGAAAGAAAATGTTGGAAATGTAAAAAGGCAGATGGGGGCTATTTCCATATGTGGTGGACCTGCAATAAGGTAAAAAAAAATTGGGAATTAATTTATAATGAACTCAAAAAATATTTAGATACACTTCCCCCAAAAGACCGGAAGCGTGTCTATTAGGCTTAATAGGAACAGAAATTAAAATGGGAGACCAAAATCTGTTCATGTATGCTACAGCTGCCGCGAGAACCCTTCTGGCCCAAAGATGGAAAGTACAAGACATACCAACTATCCAGGAGTGGCAGGTGAAGTTGACAGAATATGCAGAACTTGCCAAACTGTCAGGGAGGATCCGGGAGCAGGAAGATCAAAGATACCAAAATAACTGGAGTAAATTTATTGAATATTTAAAGAAGAATTGTAAAGAGGTTAAGACACTAGCAGGACTGACATAATACCTCCAATGTATAATAGTACTATTATGAGAATGATGTGTGCGATAGAAAGGGGTTAAATATACCAATTGTGGGGAGGGCGGGAGGGGAGTCGCGACTCGGCAGAGTCAAAGGGAATGTATGGTGTTATTATAATTTGTTGGAAAAAATATGTAAGGAAAACAATATAAATCTACTTTTAAAAAAAAGGAGATGAAAGGTTTTTATCACTTTCTTAACAGAGGCTGGATGTGGATCTCCACATTTCCCTAATTTCTCACAACCACAAGCAAATAAACAATATATTTGCCTTGTATGTGTTCTTGGGTAATCCAGACTATATGAATATGCATTTTAAAATCGTAGGTTGGGGTGTCTTAGGAATGACTTCCCTTCATCATCCTGCTGTTCTTACATTACCAAAATATACAATTTTTACCCCAAAATAGGACCATGGAGGACATTAACTGCATAGGCTGCATGGGCGTGGGGAACCTTTTTCAGCCCACATTCACTTCAGGTTGAGTAGGGCCACGGATGCGACTCTTACCTTTAAACCAACCCCACAAGTTAGAGGCTTCTACCCACACCCCTCTCCATCCAAGCAAGAGTTAAAGGACACGCTCCAGCCAGGTGGCTTTTTAATCTTTGAAGCAGAATTGAACCCGATAGCCCTTCAAATAGAGGATTGCCTTCTGTTCCCCCTCTGGAAGGGTCTCCTTGCAGAGCTAGGTTGACATAGGATACGGAGGAAGAGGATATACACGATTGCTTAGCATTTCCCCACTCTCATTTATCTCCTTTTGCACACTTTCTTAGGTGTGAAATCCATAGAATTCAGTGGGATTGTTTTCAGCAAACATGCATCTGCTTGAGCTACATGCAACATAATGGGATGTTTTTCTACTGCTGTATTTTTGCATGAAAAGCTTTTCATTTACAAAAATGCACTCTTTAAAAAAAATTGTAACATGTAGCAGTCAAACTGGGCAGTTTCAAAGCTTTCATTATTTTTTCAGGAAAGTATCCCTAGAAAGTGTGCATGGATAAATAATAGATAAAAATGCATAGCTCTTTAGCAATGTCCAAAATTAACATACTAATAGTTTTCAATGCCTTCATGTTTCAATCCCTTGATAGCAATAAAGGAAGGAAGGAAGGAAGGAAGGAAGGAAGGAAGGAAGGAAGGAAGGAAGGAGTGTGTGGGTTGTCAAGGCCACCCAGGCTTAAGAATCATACTTATGGTCATTGTATCATTTTGCCACCACCTTTGACCATCCAGGAATACTATCTCTCCTTGTGTAGGATATCTAATGGCTTCAACAGTTCCTAATTTTCCTTAAAGTGTTGTTCTCCTTTCCCTTTTAGATCCTAGTCTGAATTATCTAATTTCTTTAACTTGGCATTGGCCTTTGGAGTGAGCCCAAGCTTGAGGGATTGTTTCCCACACAATCTAAGGCTCTAAACAGCTTTGAGTTACACGACATAATTGCACCTAGGGCTAAATGCAAGGAAAACAAGCTGCCCAATCCTGTGGAGATATGAAGGATGCAGCTGGTTGCTGTCTTGCCCAGGCAAGCATCTGGCTCATGACACTGGCATTCTTACATGGTTAGAATTAAGAGGAAAAGGAGGTGGCCAAAACATACTAAAAATCTTAGTTGTACATACAACTGGCCCACCTCACAATGCAGTTGTGGGCATGGCTTTGTCACAAGGGTGTCCTTGAAAGCTACGGTTTATTTATGAGTCGACAAGCAGAATCTATTGGAAGCATGTGGACTCATTCAAGTCATCAGATGCCCAGATAGGATCTGATTCTATTCATATAATTGGTATATTGAATTTCTTGGATGCTTTGGAGTCTTAAACTGCTTATGGTAAAGTACTTTGAGATATTTTATATATTAGAAGCAGTCTATAAATTGACCAAGTAAGTATTATGCTCAACTTAGCCTTCCCTTGGCCTTTCAGACCAGTCTTCTTCATGTTGGGGAAACCCTGAAATTCAGGAAGTTGTAGGAGCAGTGGAATTTGGACTTCAGCTTTCACACATGCATTTATTTGGGTTAGGTCAGGGGTGGTCAATCTCAAGCGTGAGGGCTGTGTGCAGCCCTTCAGGTCTTTGTATCCGGCCCCAGGGACTCTCTCCTGGCCAGGCCGCTTACCAGCCTTGCTGCATGCCCTCCGGGAGTGTTTTCGCCTGGCTGGGATGCATCCTTGAACTCTTACAATATCTCTGGCTTCCCTCACTGGAATTTAAGAGGATGTCTAGTGCATGTGGAAACCGTACAGAGGGAAAATGTACATTCAATGCTCTGCCCACTTTCGCATCTGTCTCCACCCACCAGCAGGTTGCCCAGAAAGAAATGTGGCTCTTGGGATGCAAAAAGAATTCCCAACCCTGGTTTAGATTAGTAAGCCAAGTAGCCATGTTGTGAAACAAGCTCTGCAGTTGCTTCACTGTGTCTGGCTCACAATTCAACCCAAAATTATGTGAAAGTCTGCTGAATGTCCTGAAACACATTCAGCCGGGGTGAAAACATTACACCACCACTTTGCCGCTTGCTGGAGTCACCCCGTCAGTCATGCCTTCCAACTGGCTATCTAATGGCTGCTTCATGCATCACAAATTTCCCGTGTACATGTCAGAAGCCACCTCTGTGCAGACATGAACACCTGAACGGGTGGGACAACCATGAAACATGGGATCACCCTCAGTTTTTTCTAAAATATGTCTACAGCTGGCTTGGATTGAGGGTTGGCAAGCAGCAAGCCTCTTACTGGCCTGGCTAGAGCTCCCTCCTTGGCTCACTTGTTCACTCTCCTGCTAGTCTCCATGACAATTTACAATATGTCATGCAAAGCAAGGAGGTGAATGGGAGTGTAGTAAAGTGAAATGACACCACACATTCCCTTGTTAGAGGAAAATGTCACCATCCGTCACACACAGGCATGAAAATGGCCACATAACCTGGTTCGTACAATTGAGGGGTAGCTGTGTTAAGTCAGTTGCAGAAAAACAAGAGAGACACATGGCATCAAAAGTAACACATTTATTATAGCATATGCTTTCCCGGACGAAAATATTTTTCCTCAAATGCCAACTTGCATGTGACCTTAAATGTGTATTTGTGCCAAGAATAGCAACTTGTGGGAAGCCATCACTGTCAGCATCACAGCAAAGAAGGAAAGACCTAAAGCTCCCCACCCCTGACCACCGCCATCCTTCCCTTCCTCAGCCCCTTCCACAGTGGATGCCCTTGCATGCAAGCTGCAAAGAGACGTTCAAGGCACATCTAGCTTGGCCCTCCAAAGTTGGCAGGTGCATCTCCCACAAAAGGATGTAACAGAAAAGAGGGGAAACCGTAAACAGTGGGATTAATTGGAGATTAAATGCAAAAAGCACAATCTGCAACCATCGAATTAAGTAACCATTTGCAGCAGTAACTGATTTACAGTGTATTGTTTATTTAAAGAAATTATATCTCGCTCTTCACCTTTTTCCGTCTCAAAGCAGCTTACAACAATGAAATTCTACAAAACTTAAGACATACATGTTAAAGCTGCAAAATTTAAAAATCTCGATGATTTAAAAGCCCCAGAACGAAGCAAATGGCGACAACACAATTGCAGTAGCACAAAGCGATAGGAAAAGTTCCGCTTCCGCGCTGGAAGTCAGAAATCTCTTTTCCTGCAATGCCCGTCCGCCTGGAAGTCCCAGCCCAGGCGCCCGGCCGCCCTCTCAGCCGCGGGCTGCATGCAGGCAGGGCTGTCGCAAGCGGCTCTCTCGCCGCCCGCCCGCCCGCCCTGCAGGAAGCCGGGCTCGCCGCCAGGGGGCAGCAGGCAGGCAAGCTCGCCCTCCGCCCTTGGCTCCTCCTCCGAAATGCCGGGCGAAGGGCCCGGAAGTGGGCTCCCTGGCCCCGCCCCTCCCTGGCCCTGCATCCCTATTGGCGGGCATCCGCTCGCGAGAGAAAAAGAGGATCCGGGGCGCGCGCGCGGGGGCCGCTGGGGCCGAAAGCGGCCGGCGGCAGAGCGGGGCGCTCCCGGGAGAAGGAGGGTACGTGGGGATGCGGCGTCACGTGTACGGGCGGGGGAGAGGGGCAGCGGCTTCTCCGCGCGCCAGCCCGGCCCCGCTTCCCTCCCGGCCGCGGGGTCCTGGCGGGAGGCGAGAGGGAGGCCCGGGGGACCGGGCTGGGCAGCGGCTTCCAGGCAGATCCCGTCAGCATCCTTGATTTTGAAGTTGACCTTCGAACTCAGTCCTGTTCTTGTCTCTGGTGTGTTCCATCTTTTGGGGTGGCTTTTAAAATAATTTTATTATTAATTCAAAGACTTCTTTCTCAGTCTCAAGGCAGCATACAACAACATTATTTATTAAATTTGCAGACGACCCTCCATCCATACATCTCAGAGCAGTTCACAACATAAAAATGTAGCAGCCACTTTAAAATCAATACAGATAAAAAGGAGAATGCAGCTCATAACCCAGGGCAAAATTAAAGCAGTGTTAGAAACTCAAATATACGAGCTAGATGCCAAATGGCTCCTTAAACCAGGGTTTCAGTCACCAAAATGGAATGCCTAGTTACCATTTTTCAGCCAGAAGGCTCCAAAGTCGTATTTTTCAATAAGATTTTTTGATTCCTGAAATTCATTCTTCTTGTGTAGATAAAATATAACAGATAGAATTCTACAGGGTGTGTTGCTAGTGTGTGAAAGCAGTCCAGATGGAGATGTCAGGTGCCATCCTGGTGCTCAGGCAGCTTCACTTGGTCGCAAGTGGCTGATAGCCAGGTGCAAAATGTGCCTGGCAGATTTTGAACACTGAGTTAAAGCATAACAAACTGCTGGAATGAAACACCAATGAAGGCCGATTCATTTTTGAATCATCACATTTTTGTTTTTGACCACTGTGCATCATGCCAATACAGATCAGGGGCAGCCAACACGGTGCTCTCCAGATATTGTTGGGCTACAGCTCCCATCAGTGCTGACCCTGCTGGGATTGGGCTGATCAGAGTTTGAGACCAAAACATTTGAAGAGCCAAAGAGTTTCTGCCTCTTTCCTATATTACAGTATGATCACATGTTATGTGCATTAACTCGTGTGATTTCAACCATACATAGTTGAAGGCCGGCTGGTTGAAATTCAACATGTTAAATGAAAGCAAGGCAGACAGCTTAAAAGCTTTTTTTGTGTGCCAGTGAAACCTGGTGCAAAAAGAGCTTTTAAGCTCTCTGCTTCACTAAGGGGCAAGGTCCTCTCCGCACACCAGTTTTGGGATGCTCTTGTAAGATCTCGCAGGGCTTTTTGAGTTCCAACAAAATCTTATGTGAGCATCCCTAGCAAGCAAGGCTAGGGAAAAGAGCTAGAGCGCTTTTCATGCTGGGAGAATCAAAGAACATGGGTTAGTAATGGCTTCCCACCTTATGACCAAGTCATGGAAAACACATTTCTTGATGTGCAATGAGCGAAACAGCCCTGATCCTATATATTGGCTGAAAATACCATTTCAGATGGAAGCTGTGTCTGTGACAAGCAGAATGCTTACTAACCTGTTGTAGTATTTTCTGTTGAAGACTATGTAAAGGAATAGTTTGTTTAATGAACTTCCATTTTAAGTTGTTTACTGCTACATTAGTTGAGTGAATTCCCTTTTTAAGAGGCAGATGTTAGCTTAAAATGTTGTTTTTCATTCTGCCAGGCCATAGACCAAACAGACTGACTCCAGGTGAACATGGCCTTCTACAGCTGTAACATATTCCTTGCAGTAGCTAGGTCCAGGTAAGAAATTAATTATTGACATTATTTTGTGGACATCACTGTTTCAGTTGCCTAAAGCTTGGAAGAAGTGCGTCATCATTGTACTGAGAAACAGCGCCACTCATTAAACACATTGGGTTGCAGGAATGATTAATGGAATACTCAGGGGCCAATGAAGGTATTTGCCCGGTCACCAATACTGCTCATACCTGATCTTGTGCTGAGCTTCAAGGGTTTGCAGATGCAGTAAGGAGTCTTTCTGCTTCTGTGTACCTCTGAACCCCAATATCATCATAGAGGATTCCAGATAAGGGCAGGATCTTGTCTATGCTGTTGCACTGGACTTCAGAGATGCACAGAAGTAGCAAAGACTACTCTGCTTCCAAGTACCTCGGAAACCCAGCATGGGCAAGACCCAATTTCCTTCTTAAGCGGAGGAGAGGGGTGAGTACTGATCACAATATTTTAAAGATGTGTTCTTGTATTTCTCCTATTCCCTTTCTCCCATAGAGGTACAATGCAGACAAAACTACAATTACAAAACAATTAAAACATTTAAAAACAGCTGTACAGAATAAACTCTCTCTCACACACCCCTACACACAAAATTGCACAGTACAGCAGGTGAGGAATACTGCTCCATCAGATTCCAGTCACCCTTCTCTACAGGCATGGACAAACTAGTGCATCTTTAGTTGATGCCAAAGGCCTGCAAAAATTTGGGCAGTACCAGTATTTTTGGTATTTTGTTACAGCAATTATTGTTTTGTCTCTTACCCCTCACAGGGGACCTCATCTTCTTGTACACTCCATCTGCTCCCCGTTCTCCCCATCGGTTGTATTTGCCCAGCTGTTGGATTCCCACCTTAACCGAACATACCTGAAGGACTCTGAGAGCCAGCAGTTGCTCCTCAGTGCGCAGCAGGGCATCAGGTTACCTCAGTTGCTAACTAAGCCCATGCGAATGCTTCACACGTCAGCTTCCTGGCACCAAGAGCTTCAGGACAAAACTCAGCCTAGCCAAAGTACTGTAACAAAGGACACTGAGCTGGCCAAAGTTCCAGTGGACCAAGCGACAGAGACTGCCAAGATACCGTTACGCCAGAGGATTATAGATGAACTAAAACATTATTACAATGGTTTCCATCTGCTTTGGATTGACACAAAAGTTGCTGCTAGGATGGTGTGGAGGCTGTTACACGGGCAAGTTCTCACTCGGAGGGAAAGGCGAAGGGTGAGCATTGAATGGAAAGCCCTCAGCAGTGGAGTCCCGTCCACTGGACCAAGCAATCAAATGAATATTTGGAGCTGACTGGCCCCTACCATCAGATTTTTGGGCTGGTTCCAAACTTTTGTTCCCTAGTCTGATAAGGTTGCCAAACTTTTTGGCTCAGTGGGCACATTTCAGATTTGGGGGTGCCACTCACAAAGTGGCTGCCATGTGGGGGGGAGTATGGCATAACACAGAAATTAGAGAGGCAGTCATTCCTGGCAACCTTATGTGTACCATAGGATGTCAGCTATGTCCTGATTGTGGAAATCACATAATATGGATCACACACACACAGATGCCTCTCTGAGTTCACGTGCAGGACGTGATGATGACTTCTCTCCCTGTCTTGTTTCCGGTATTTGAGGCCAGGTCATAGGCATCACCTTTCTCCTTGGGGGAAACTCAGGATTGCTGCTGCAAGAGGGGAGAATGTCACCCTTCCCTCCCACGCCCCTCTGAGCAAACCGTCTGACACCGTCAGGCCTGAGAGTTTTTAACTTGTGCAGGAAAAAAGCACATATTGAAATCATTATGCTAATTTATAGCACAGTTCAATTTGTGATTTCTTGTCATGCATAAAATTGCGCATTTGGCTTGCTGCGACAAAATACTAGTTTCAAAAAATATTTTTTAAAAATATTGTGTACTATCAAAGTTAATCCCTGCAGGACAGAGTAAAGAACCTTTGGTCCTCTGGATGTTGTTGGACACCCCCTCCCATCAGCCCCAGCGACCACGGCCAGTGGTCAAGGATAGACATAGACAAAAAATCTTAGAGTTGGAAGGGACCATGAGGGCCCTCTAGTCCAACCCCCTGCAATGCAGGAATAGGCAGCTGTCCCTTGCGGGGATCGAACCTGCAACCTTGGTGTTATCAGCACCAAGCTCTAAGCAACTGAGCTTGCTTTTTAAAATATATTTTAAGATGTAGAAGGGGAAATTCTGTTTCAATGTGGCTCTTAAGGTTGCTAATTTAAAGTGAATAAAAGGTAAATCCCCTTCTTCCGGGCTAAATACATGTTATTGACCTATTTTTAATTGGCAGAACTTTCATTATTTATTCAGCTCCTAAAAGTGTATGTTGCTTAGGAATTGCAATGATGTACCTACCTTTGATGGCTTATTCTCTGAAGCCCAGTTCTATAATTCTTGAAGGAACCTTTTCACAGAAGTCAAATCTCAACAGTTTAGTACTGGTTTTGAAGCATAGTATTTAAGCAAATCAAACATTGTTTGACAAGCATGCAATACTGAAATAAAAAGCATTTTAAAGCTGCTATATGTCAGTTTAGTATATTGATTTGTACGAACAAGGAAAACTTAGTTATACAAGATAAATTTCAGTTTTTATTGAAAAACAATAGTGGATTTACCTCAATTTAGAAATGTGCAGCTACATTTCTTTCAACAAAAGTGAATTACTATGTTGCATTAATATCAACAAGCATCAGACATGATGAGAGTTCTAGTTCTTCAGCCTTTGGAGAGCCACAGGGTCCTCTCCTCTAGATAACTCAGTTTAACTGCTTCTGTACATTAAGTCCTGCAAAAGAGAGACTCTCCTTTTTCCATTTCATGCTTTCAAGATTTTGTGCAATCTTATATGTATATGAAGATGCTGTTTGAGGCACCATTTTCTTCTCAGATTGCTTAGCTATGCCTTAAAGAAATAAATCTGAAAGAAGTGTAGCTTATAACTTTAAAATGATATCAGCGTAGCTTTAGCAAAATGAAAGATAGTGTCATAAACAAGAAAATGGGAGCTAGCTTAACATTTCTCCAGCCATATAGGAGACTAAAATCCTGCCTCAACAAAATTATTTGAAAGACATCTTAAAAACAAGTAGGAAGTGCATTGCAAAGCTTCTCTGAAATTCCAGAGCAACAAAAAGGCACTTAGCCTTGCTGATGTCGCCTTCCTGGTTCTTTTGAGCAGGGCCTCTGCTGACAAGTTGAATGCATAGGAAGAGACTCTGTTGTTCTGCTTTGTGTCTTAACCTCTGCAGCTGATGAGAACATCTGCTGATCTTTTCCGGCTGGTTCCCTTTTTGGTGTTCATCATTGTGCCCTTCATGGAATTCCTCTTACCTGTATTTCTGAAACTGTTTCCTGAGATGCTGCCTTCAACCTTTGAAACCGAATCTAAGAAGGTCAGTGTGAAAAGCAGCTCAGCCTTCGCCTCAACCACAGTGTATCATAGCATGATGTGGCACCACTGTGTCAGGAATTCTCTGCCTCCAACTCTGCTGCATCTGTTTGCTGTATGGGAACCAATGTCTCCATAAGCTGTATGAAGGGGGATAGAGAGGCCCAAGTTCAAATCCTCTCGGCCTTGGGCTGAACACACTTGCATGTACACTCTCTTCACCCACAAGGTTATTCTTAGGATAAAATGGACAAGTGGGAGATCCTATACACTACTCTGAGCTTCTTGAAAGAAGGATAGAATAAAAGGATAATAAGTCAGATATGGGTAAGTGCCAGGCATTATGCTTTCACAAGTGGGGATGAGAATCCTAGGTATAACTTGATACCTGCAACACCTAGCAATCTAGGTGTGCAATCTACATCTCAGAATAGAGTCTCGAATGGAACTGAGTCTTCATGGCGTCAAGATCCAGCCCCCTGCCTCCTTTTGTAGCATCTTGCTGATGAAGAGTTTGGGAAAATGCAAAAGCTTGTTCACTCCTAACAAAAGTATTGCCCAACAGTGGATTTGGGAATGAAATAATAGAATAAAATATAAGTGGCAACCATTTTGGTACGTTCAGTTGATGCACACCCACCAATGTGCAGCTCCCTTTGGACGCAGAAGAGGGTGGAATGGGATGAGGTGTGTTTATGCGTGCTCCACCAATGCACGTGGGGGCCAGGAACAGAACCTGCGCACAAAATGGTTGCCACCTATAGAGAGGAACAGGCACCTTGATGCAGTTAAAGCAGCAGTCAGGAAAACTGTACTTCTGTATCTCACAGGCAATTTTAGCATTCATTCTCATTAAGAACCTACAGTAGTACCTCTAGCAAGTCTTTGATCTCTTGTTATCTCCTATAAATTTAAGCCATGAAAAATAACAGTGGAACAGAAACTGACTAGCTGTGAGCAAAAGGATAATATTGGCATATCTTACAGCACAGAAGGCTCACCTGTGGCCTTGCAGATGTTACTAGACTATAAATCCCATCGTCCCTGACCATTGACCATGCTGGCTGAGGCTGATGGGAACTAGAGTCCAACAGCAACCATAGGGCCCCAGGTTATTTCTTGTCCCATGACCCTGCCTTATAGGGTTCTCAGCCACGACTGGACCTAATGGTCAGGGGTCCCTTTACCTTTACCTTTTTAAGAAGTACTGAAAAAGCTTTTGAATATTTGAAATCGTTAGATAACTGCAAATGTTTATTATTATTTGTATTAAGGAAGAAAAGCAGAGAAAGAAACTGAGTGCAAAGTTGGAACTAGCCAAATTCCTGCAGGAGACCATCGCAGAGCTGGCCAGAAGAAACAAAGCCAGTACTGGAGAAGCCACGAAGCAATTCTCTTCTTACGTTCAGCAGGTACAGACTTCTACTGCTCATCAGCTGATGGCTGGCTGGCAGCATGCCTTACTCCAGCAAAGGAAGGAACCATCAGACGCCCCACGCTTACACCCCCACCTGACATCACGGGTGACATCTGCTGAGGGTGACTGGGCATGGCTTCTCAAAATTGGTCTTGTGGGCCAAATTTGGCCTGCAGGCTGGAGATTCCTCAGCCTTGTTCTAGCGGAAAGTATTTGAATCCCCTCGCCACAATAATGTAGTTAGGTTTTGGAGACCACATAGAAGCTATGTCTTCCTATTTAGGCATAGGAAACTCTTCCCAACATTGTTTTCTTCTTTTTGTTTTTACCCATTACTTGAGGGTTTAGTGCAATATATCAGTTGCACTCAAACTCAGTACAGTACATAGATTCCACATTGAGAGTTTGTCTGTAGCAGCACATTCCTCAGCTTATACTTCAACAATGTTTCAAGATTGAGTAATCCCAAGGCCTCCATAGAACGTATCTGTTGGTCTTGCCAAATTTCAGGACCTTTTGAGAAGAGATTCTCCATGTCCTGAACATTATATGTGCACTAAGGAAAGAACTTCCACTTGTTTGTGGAGCATGTATGGGAGGAGAAGGAGGAGGACACATTCTTGCTGGAATCTTATTCATTGCTTTGTACAGGTTCGGCATAGTGGCCAGCAGCCCAGCACCCAGGAGATCGTGCGGTTTTCAAAGCTATTTGAGGATGAGCTGACCCTGGAACACTTGGAGCGGCCACAGCTGGTGGTCCTCTGCAAATTGCTTGAACTGCAGCCCATTGGCACTAATAACCTCCTCCGCTTCCAGCTTTTGATGAAGCTCAGGTCTATCAAAACAGATGATGAAGTAAGAGACCAAAAAAGAAAAAAAAGAAAATGTTAACAGCTCTCTGCCAGTCATTTCTCTCTTCTGATACCTGAGTCTAAAAGGTGCAATCATGCCCAAGTCTCAGTGCTTTGGTCTGACAGATTATGTTTTCCACAGTCTGTGAAGATAAACACAAAGTGCTGTGTGTGAACTCCCAATTACTTTCATGTAGTAAGTGCTGCCTATTTTCTTTCTCGCCATCCTAAGACTCCAGAATATTTCAGTTGGTCTACATAACAAACTTTCATTTAAAAACCTATAGTGTTCAGAGAAAGTTGAAAAAGTTAAGCTTTGTACAAGTTGCCCATGGATGCTGGAATTTAATACAGATGTCTGCAAGGTCACCCTCTAATGGATATGGCAATGTGGTTCTGTGCCATAACATCAGATTCCTGCACTGAAAGGGGTTGGACTAGATTGCCCTCGGGGTCCCTTCCAACTCTACCATTCTATGATTCTATCACCTCTGCCACCAAGGTACATTTAAGCAGTTTGCTGCCCTGCTAATACTGAAATAGTTCAACCAATGACAGTGACAGGAGACCTGAAGCCACTTCATTCCCACCCATATGCAGTCTTAATGTGAGGTCAGAGCAGCTCAGCCAATGGCAGGAAGAGGCAAGGCAGGCACAGAGATTTAAGATGTAGGCAGATATTGCCGGTGTGAATAAGTTAGATGGCGAGGAAGGTTTTTACAGGAGAATTAAAAAGACAGGCCGTTTAATAACAACAACAACAACAATAATATAAAAATAATTTATTTATACCCCACCTATCTGACTGGGTTTCCCCAGCCACTCTGGGCTGCTCCCAACAGAATTAATGATGATATGATAAAACATCAGACATTAAAAACTTCCATAAACAGGGCTGCCTTCAGAGGTCTTCTAAAGTCAAATAGTTGCAAACCCATAGCACTACCCCCCACTCTAAGAAAATCACATCTGACATCACATGTGTGATAAACCAAATGGAGCTCCTGTTTAGAAAAACAACAGAACGGTTAATAAAGGCATTGGAACACGCATTACCAACATCATCATAACACAATTACACTTTTAACCCAACATGGTAAAAGCTTATTCCCAATCCATCAAGGTTTCTTCAGGTCTCCTGCTTCCTTCTTGGTGCATACTCCAGCCCAGGGGTCGGCAAACTAAGGTCCACAGGCCAGATCAGGCCCAAATGCCTTCAGGACCCGGCCCACAGACTGTCCGTGGATGGGCGTGGGGATTCTGTTCATTCGGGCTGCGCCACTTTTATTCCTGCGCCATTCCATTCCCCCCCCCCCACCGTGATGGTGGTGCCTCCTCCCTCCTGGCTTCTCCCCGCCCTGTCTAGAGGAGGAAGGGGTCTGGGCTGAGCTGGCTGAGCGCCATTTTAAGCAGCCCCCTCTCCAGAGCCAGCCCTTTTGCGCCACTCGTCTTCCCTCCGCCATTGCCGCCCTGGTGCTCCTGTGGGCCAGAGAGCGAAGCGGACAAGCTCACCCCGCCTCCCCATGAGAAGAAGCTGCGGCAGCAGTCCCTGGGAAGGTATGCGCAGCAGCTGCGGGTGGGGAGGAGGACTTCTTGCCCCCCATGCCTCTTCTCCCCCCCCCACCCGGTGCCGCTTCTCCGGTCCGCCACAAGGTCTGAGGAAAAGTGGACCGGCCTGTGGCTAAATTCCCCCCCCCCAACCCCTGCTCCAGCCTGGAGCAAAAATAGCTTTCAAACACATAAGCAGAGTAATTCTAAAAATGTTAAACAGTCAGAAATAATAAACATGCAAAAAACCCTGTGTTTCAAAATCTATTGCAAAGACTGCCTTGGCCCAGTATACCTGAAGGAGCATCTCCACCCCCATCGTTCTGCCCGGACGCTGAGGTCCAGCGCCAAGGGCCTTCTGGCCCTTCCCTCACTGCAAGAAGCAAAGTTACAGGGAAGCAGGCAGAGGGCCTTCTCGGTGGTGGCACCTGCCCTGTGGAACGCCCTCCCGTCAGATGTCAAGGAGATAAAGAACTATCTGACTTTTAGAAGACATCTGAAGGCAGCCATGTTTAGGGAAATTTTAATATTTGATGAATTATTGTATTTTTAAGATTTTCCTGGAAGCCGCCCAGAGTGGCTGGAGAAACCCAGCCAGATGGGCAGGGTATAAAAAATTATTATTATTATTATTATTATTATTATTATTGCTACTACTACTACTACTTGCAAGAAGAATTCCTGCAGCAAAAGTGAACAAACCCAAATCCCTGTCCCTTGCCCTCCCCTCCCCCCCAGTCAGGCTGCATGGCCCTTTGCCTTGGGGTTTCTTAGAGTTTTCCGGCTTATGGCATTTTCACAAAGTTCTCATTTCAAGCAAGTTAAACAACTACTTTGGTGCCAAACTCACAGGTTCTGCTTCTCTGGTTGTGGGTCAGAAACATTAAACCCACACCCCAGTCCCAAAATAGTTCCTGTATGGTCTTTTAGGTTAGTTAATCGGGGCACCCATTGTTTATCTGAAAGTGATTGAGTGCTAGCTATACTGAATCAGCTAAAGTGTCTCCATAATGCTTCTCTCACTTTCTATGGTCACAAATTTTCAAACTTGCATAACCACAGCTGTGCATAACTACAGCTTTCAGTTACTAAGACTAGGACTCGTAACCAAATAGGGATTTTGATTTTTAATCAGTAGGCTGATTTTACACTTGCACATTGCTAAAACTTGGATAGAGGTGACTTTTGATGTATTGACAGAAGCACGGTAACCTAATAAACCCAAAGCTATGATTTGTTGTTGGAATGAAAGCCACGTGTAATTTTTTATTTTTTATTTTTTTAAAAAAATATTTGATTTTCAAGAATATAAACATATAACAAAACCAATTCCGAATCCAAATATTGAGATTTCTCTAAATCTCCTGACTTCCCCCCATCCCTTCCCCCATCAACTGCATATCAATACCTCTTCAATTATTTTTTATCTTTCTAAGTTATCCATACATTCTGTTACATTACAAGTGTGTTTAAAACCTGCTAATGTTTTAACCTTCTTACAATAATCTTGTATATACATTATAAATAGTCCATCAACTTGGTTTGCCATTTTTCTCTGGTTAGGGTTGTCTCTTCCTTCTATCTCTGGGCTAGTAATGTCCGTGCAGCTATTGTCACGTACATGAAAAGTTTTTTCTGGTCCTTTGGAATCTCGGTACCTATAATTCCTAATAAAAAGGCTTCTGGTTTTTTAACAAAAGTTATTTTAAACTTTTTTTTTCATTTCATTATATATAATTTCCCAGAAATTTTTAACTACAAGTCCACCACATATGATAAAAGGTACCTTCTTTTTCTTTACATTTCCAGCATATGTTTGTACTTGTTCTATACATTTTTGCTAATTTTACTGGGATCAAATAACACCAGTACATCATTTTAATATAGTTTTCTTTCAGTGAAGAACATGCCATAAATTTCAGATCTGTTTTCTATAGCCTCTCCCGGTGTATCATTTGTATATTATGTCCCAAGTCTCCCGCCCAGTGTATTTGACCTGTTCATCTTTTGTATGCCATTCCATTCCATGGCATATGAATGGAATGGTGTAATATGTTTTTTCTTTTCAAAAATAGTTTAACCCTCTGCATTGCCAGGAAAAGGCTCTTTGTTTTACTCTTAGTACTTCAATTTGTTTCTATAGTATGTGTCAGTGAGAGAGTGTTACCTTCTGAGTTCACCACTTGCTGAAAGGGATGGTGGCCTGATTTCCAAAAGAAGAAGGTGGTGCTAATTTGATCTCTCTTTGCTCTGTGCAGATGATTGCCAAGGAAGGTGTTAATGGCTTGAGCGTGTCTGAGCTGCAAAGTGCCTGCAGAGCCAGAGGAATGAGGTCCTTGGGCCTCACGGAGGAGCAGCTGAAAGAGCAACTCAACCAGGCAGGTTGGGGATGAGGGAGGGTGGGGAATCAGCTCCAAGAAGAGAATTACTCTTTTGTATTAAATTTACCGTATATTCTACCCTTCCTGCCAAAGGAGCCCAGGGCAGCAAGCAACAAAGGAGCAAAAGAATTAAAATAAAGCAAAACATTAAGAAAGCTAAAAACATTTAAAAACAGTCAGCTACCCCTCACAACTAATAATTTCAAGGTTGCCAGGAACAGCATTCATTATTCTGAATAATTTCCCCCCTGCATCTCCTAGATGTGCACAAAATATACTACAAGCTTAAGCCCAAGTTTAGCCCATAGATTCATGGAGGAGGAGAGATCTACTCATGGATATCTGCAGCATCCAGAATCAAGAGAGGAGCTGGCCCTGTGGGCAGTGAGGGGGTGGCAGGGAAAGGAGTGTGGGGAGAGCAGGCTGCTTGCAGGCTTCCCATAGCATCTAGTTGGTCCCTGTTAGAAGATGCTGTGTTCAATGGCCTGTTCTTATGTCATAACAGAGTACATCATCTGATATAACAGGACCCTTAGGGTCTCTAACAGAAAGTAGTGCTGCTTTTATGGCTAAATCCCAATTGGATCAACTTAGTTTTCCCAGTGCTATTCCCCATTATCAGACTTTAGTCTTACATATTTAAACATCCTGTTCCAAATTAGGTGAGAGCCCAAATGAGCTGAATTGGGTGCCATCTCACATGAGTCAGCAGTTATTGGTAGGAGATTCAGCATACCAGGATTAGATCCTGTGCTGAAGGATCTGAGTTCTGTGCTGAAGGATCTGAGTTCTCTTGAGCAAGACTTGCAGCTAATCAGCAAATTCCACCACTTTGCTGAAAGCTAGCTTAAGCTGCCGTGTAATTTTGCACTCCAGCATCCCTAGGTGGCCCTCACATGTCCCCACTGCCTTTTCTGCTGGGAGCTTACAGGAAGTGTGGGGCCTCAGGTAGATGCTGAAATGGTGGAGCCCCATATTTTCATGTCGTTGAGGAACCTCTGGCATCTTTAGGTCTCCCCTTCCCCTGGGTGAGCTGCTGTCCATTGGATTTGAGCTCAGGCCAGCATGAGTCCATAGGATATTCCGGGGCAAACTCCAGCAGCCCCATCTCTGCAGAGGCCTGCTTTGCCTTGAACTCTTACTCTAAAGCATTGTGGGAAAGGAACACAGGAATGTTGCAGGATTTGCTTTTCAGTTCAAACAACTTAAGAATGATATAGATCAGGCAGAAGATGAAGCAAGTATGGGCAGGCTGCCTAATGATAGTTGAGATGCCAGCCTCTATCTGAACAACTGTGTAAAAATCATAGAATCATAGAGTTGGAAGAGACCAGAAGGGCCATCGAGTCCAACCCCCTGCCAAGCAGGAAACACCATCAGAGCACTCCTGACATATGGTTGTCAAGCCTCTGCTTAAAGACCTCCAAAGAAGGAGACTCCACCACACTCCACCACACTAAAGGGAGGTTGCTTGTCCATGTGGGAAGGTGGCCCATGCTCCAACACTTGCACATGGATTTTTCAGGCTCACTAAAATGCAATTCCCCACCACAGTTTAAATCAAAATTCTCTGACACCGTCTTTCTCTGGTTTCTTTCTGCTACACAGTGGCTAGATCTACATCTTAGAGAAAACGTTCCTCCTTCTCTGCTGCTACTTTCTCGTGCCTTATATTTGACAGAGGTGAAGCCCAAGCCTCTTGTGAATCCAGCTGAGGTGAGCAGGATCGACAGCAGCAGTGTTCAAGAAATGGACCTGGTGGCTTCCTGAGGAGGAGTGGGTTTGTGAGGCTAACAGGGATGACCTAGAACCGCTGCAGCAGAGTTTTTACAAGAGGGGCAGACCCACCAATAGGTGTGGGGAACTCTTCCTTCCCCAGTTTTAGACCACACATGATTATTTTGCAGGAGCACTTATGGCTAAAAGGTATAAAGAAGTAAATATAACAAATGCTCTTAATACACACTTTGTTAGGTCCAGTCTAAGTTAGTTGAATTTGGGTCCTGATGAAACCAATCAGTTTTGTCATGACTTTTTAGTTCCTGTTGATATCATTGGAACCGAAGTCCAGCTAACTTGCAGCTGAATCCTGTACCTGTTGGCCCATAATCTCATTAAGTCTAAGTAAGATTTATTCCGAAGAGTGTATAGCATTGCAGCTTTAATCCTGAATGTGTCTGTGAAGTTCGAAAGCTGGCTCTTGAACTCTCATCTCTCTCCTCCCTCCCCTGCACCTGAAAACTGAAATGGCACCTCCTGAGTGAGGTTAATTACAGTGGTACCTCGCAAGACGAATGCCTCGCAAGACGGAAAACTCGCAAGAAGAAAGAGTTTTCCGTTTTTCGAGGTGCTTCGCCAGACGAATTTCCCTATGGGCTTGCTTCGCAAGAAGAAAGCCCATAGGGAAATCTCCGGGGACCTCTTTTAAAATGCTGGCGGTCCCCCCCACCTGCCTTCCCGGGATAGCGGAGAAGTGCAGAGCGTTTCTCCGCTATCCCGACGGCTTTTGAAGGCAGGCGGGGGGGGGGGAGCAAAGACTTTCGCCCACCGCCGGCCTTCAGAAGAGGTCCTGGACCTCTTCTGAAGGCCGGCGGGGGGCAAAAGTCTTTGCTCCCCCCCGCCTGCCTTCCCGCGACAGCGGAGACTTCTTAAAATGTTGGCGGTCGGCAGCAAAGCCCTCCTGCCCCCGGAGCTTGCGGGGCGGGAGGTGGGGAGAAGGGCTTTTCTTCCCACCGCCAACATTCAGAACAGCCTTCTGAAGGCTGGCAGTGGGAAGAAAAGCCCTTGTCCCCCCCCCCCAAGCCTTCAGAAGAGGTCGGGGGACAGACTGTCCCCGGACCTGGTCTGAAGGCAGTTTCCATAGGAACGCATTGATTGATTTTCAATGCATTCCTATGGGAAACCGTGCTTCGCAAGACAAAAAACTCGCAAGAAGAAAAAACTCGCGGAACGAATTAATTTCGTCTTGCGAGGTACCACTGTAGACAGTTTGGGAAACCCCGTGTTTTGTCCTGCATCAAAAATGTCCTCCGTATGGGCATCTGCAGCACTGCTGCTTCCTTCAAGGCTGGTCCCAAGAATGCAGATCTCAGGATGCATAAAGTCTTTCACAGACTTCTTCCTTCCTGATGGCATCTGCACATAATTCCCAAGTGACACACTTTGTTTCTTGTGGGGTCCAAGTCTCAGAGACGGGTGCTGTAAACCCAAATTAGCACTGCAGGAAAGCCTTAACATTTTCCCTCTGTAGATAATCAGGGTGAAGGCAGTCTTGCTTCACTGAGATCTAGAAAGCCAATAATGACACCAAGCTTTCTGTTCTTGCTTTAGCCTCTGAAGACCGAGGGTGATGCAGACACAGATGATGAGGATCATGAGACCTTGTTGGATTCTGCCCCCAAAGTACAGGAAAGAAAGGTGAGAAATGGTGTGTGCTCTTTGGGTGTTTTCTCAAAGCTTCTCCAATAATTAGGCTCATAAGTAACTAGTAGGGTGTTCACCAGTTGCCCTCATGGTGTAGTAGCATTTCTTTCTTGAAGAACACCAGGGCTCTCGCAACAAAATTGCTTGGGTTCATCGTTCTATTTTTTCCTTCTGAATCTTGGCCTACAAACCAGTTCTCTGACCTTATTTCTCTCTCTCCCTCTTGAAGAGTGAAGAATTTATATTGCAGCCAACAGAGAAATTACCAGTTCCTGAGGTGTCAGTCAAGCCTCCTGCAGGAGAGGTGAGTTCTACCTCTTTGCCTCTTGCGCTGCAGCTTGTAAATAAACAATGACTAAGCTGACAGTATTTAAGACTATGTACCACACGAATAGATTTTTGTTTTATCATCTTAACCAAACAAAATAGTTATTTAAATTACTGATGAAATAGAGAGTCTGGGGAAGATGGCGCCGGGTCAAGCCTCAACTGAGTCTCTGCTGCATGAGTAGGAGCTCTAATGATCAAATTACCCTGATAAAAAGGCTCATCCTTTGAAAATACCTGCCAACTTTTATCAGTAAAGGACTCTGGGAGCTGTCGGGTGGACTTTTAAACCTCCCCTCCCTTTTAAAGCTACTTAAATCAACTTTGAACCACCTCCCTTGAAAAGCCCATAAAGCTGTGGGTTGGATAAAATAGCCCCATTTATTTCTGAGTACGAAGATGGTACTTACAAGACAATGTTGCAAAGAACTTAGGATTTCACCTTTATAACCTGTAACAACTCTCCCAAAGAAAAAAACAGGCCAAAATTTCAACCTACTTCGATTCCAAGGCTGATGAAGCAAATAATCCAGGAAACCTCCATTCTCATGAGTGGTCTATTGACCACACCTGGATTGGAAGGGAGGAAAAAACTAACGTCGGAGGTGAGGGAGTGGACCTGGCAACAAAACTAAAACAAGCTGAGCTAGCCAAAGAGGGAAGTGAAGAAAGTTTAGAACAGGAGCTATTCCTGGAAAACCCAGAAGCCATGTCAAACGAGCCTCCCCTCTCCTCCCTATCAGGAGAGAATTTAAGGTGCCCTTCCCCGACTGAGCCGATTGAGACAGACAAATGGCCAAACAGCTTAAGGTTACAGCACCCGGACAACTTTATCTTCTACCTGTCAGGGATGTTTGAAGAGTTACTCAAAACTCATTTCACACAGATAAGCAAAGAACTTGAGCCAATTAAAATTTTCCTTTCGGAAAGCTTGAACCTGCTTACCACCCTAACTGAATTGATTAAGAACCATGAGGCCGCTCTCCCTCACATGACATCTGGGACTAGGACTAATGGAGGTGAAACCAAGCCGGGACTCGATTACAAACAAACAAACAGAAACAATTCAGTGCAGGAGGGAGGGTCCCTTGCTCCCAAGAAACCGACCTTAAAGAGAAAATGCTCAACACAAAAAATGAATAAGACCCAAAACATCAAATTGAGAGGCCATAAAGGAGCGCCGACCTGCCGGACTGAAAAAATGAATTTCCAGAAGCTCTTTAAGGTGCTGGAGAATATAACAACAAAGAACTCTGCTTCTACAACCCAAAAGAAAATCACAAACTCATGCATGCCAATAAAGCACTCTGAGGAAAAGCCCCATGCCCCAGCAGATCACACACCGCCCTCTAGTGGGAAAATAGGAAAACCAAAGGAAATTTCAGCTCCCAAGCAACCAACCCTTCTCTTGACATCGCAAATAAATCCTGTGTACCCTAATATAACAAAAAAGGATCAAGATAAAACAACACAGACTTGTTGGAAGCTAACGCTAAACAAACACAAATTTGCCTTCACAATACTTCCCACAAACAGATGTCATCCATCATAGGTTGGACTTGATGGCCCTTGTGGTCTCTTTCCAACTCTATGATTCTATGATTCTATATGCTCAAAGAAAAGTAAATATTCCCGAAAAAATCGGAATAGTCACCAGGGGCCTCGTGACAGCAGAAAATATCATCAAGGTAAAATTCCTCCCTCATGATATGGCCCAAAATAGGGCTATAGTGACTTTTAAGGACGGGCTCTCAACTAAACAGACCCTTTCTAATAAAGACAATTTCCTGAGGGCTGGCTTGCTTGTGCACCGTTTCTTCGAAAACATCGAAGACCCTTTACCACTTCTAGGAGCACATAGGCCAGCCAGACCAAAAACCAAAACCAGCACTGCAGAATCCAACAGTGCCGGAAACGGTAAGCCGCTCTACCCAGAGGCTGGCAACCTTAAACAATCTGGCAGGCTGTACAAAACCCCGCCCTCACCAAATAAGCTAGAAAAGGATTTCTCCTTGAAGGATGAACAACTCCTAACAACCTACCTCGAGCAGATTCTACTTTCCCAGGATGCACTAATTGAAAGACTGTCGACCATAAGGAACTCCCTTCCACCTCTAGCCCTGCCTCCTCCCATGGAATTTAATTACATCAATTGCAAATCAAAGCCTTTAACCAATGAGGAATGGACAACTTGTTGATATCTGTCTCCAGAAGAAACAGGTTTTCCTACACCTCCACCAACAACCCAGTCCAAATCGCAACAAGTTGAACCAGTGGTGCCAGCGCCAGGAATTGGATCAATCTTCATGGATTGCCTGGGAATCCTAGAAGCCATTCATGCAGAGGAATGAAATAAGGTGAGAGGCACAAATACAAGATGGGGGACACCTGGCTTGAGAGCAGTACATGTGAAAAGGATCTCGGAGTCTTGGTTGACCACAAACTTGACATGAGCCAACAGTGTGACGCGGCAGCTAAAAAAGCCAATGCAATTCTGGGCTGCATCAATAGGAGTATAGCATCTAGATCAAGGGAAGTAATAGTGCCACTGTATTCTGCTCTGGTCAGACCTCACCTGGAGTACTGTGTCCAGTTCTGGGCACCACAGTTCAAGAAGGACACTGACAAACTGGAACGTGTCCAGAGGAGGGCAACCAAAATGGTCAAAGGCCTGGAAACGATGCCTTATGAGGAATGGCTAAGGGAGCTGGGCATGTTTAGCCTGGAGAAGAGGAGGTTAAGGGGTGATATGATAGCCATGTTCAACTATATAAAAGGATGTCACATAGAGGAGGGAGAAAGGTTGTTTTCTGCTGCTCCAGAGAAGCGGACACGGAGCAATGGATCCAAACTAAAAGAAAGAAGATTCCACCTAACATTAGGAAGAACTTCCTGACAGTAAGAGCTGTTCGACAGTGGAATTTGCTGCCAAGGAGTGTGGTGGAGTCTCCTTCTTTGGAGGTCTTTAAGCAGAGGCTTGACAACCATATGTCAGGAGTGCTCTGATGGTGTTTCCTGCTTGGCAGGGGGTTGGACTCGATGGCCCTTGTGGTCTATTCCAACTCTATGATGATTCTAAGGTCTTAGCGGGTGTCTGCCTGGACAGACAAATTAATACCCCCAAATTAGTCTTCCCCTCAAAAGGCTCCCCCATTCCTCCGCATCGTGGCTCAATCAAGCCAAACTCAAAGGACCTGAGGAATCAGCAGCAGAAAACAGCTATGAGAGCCTGGAATCTAAAAACCCAAGAATCAACTGCTGCCCTAAACATCATCTCCTGGAATGTTGCCGGCTGGTCCAGATGCCTCTCCCATTCTACAGACATTCCCTTCTACCGTCAAAGCTTTAACATCATTGCTCTCCAAGAGACGTTGGCGGCTGAAAACCCATCATTGGAAGGATACTCCACATATGCAGTGAGAGCGGTTGCAGGCAGAGGACCAGGGAGGCTCAAGGGGGTGTTATGCATCCTAATCTCACTCTGCCTAAACGCCACCTGTAAGGAATTGTCCCCCGTAGACCACCTAGCAGTGGCCCTACTCATATCCTGGGGAAACTGCAGTTTACTAATTATCAATGCTTATATCCCCCCAACAAGCAAAAAAACCCGATATTGAGGGCATCTGGAATAGACTGGACTCTTATGTCAGGTTACTGCTAACGGACTATCCGGGAGCAAAGGTCCTGCTGGTGGGCGACCTAAACGCAAGGCTAGGTCCTGATGACCCCAGTTTAGAAACCAAATACAGGCAAAAAATAGGGTACCCTGACGATTTTGGCCCGGAGGCTTTACAACTACCAAGGCAGTCAAAGGATCAACATTCAAATTTTGCTGGAGCCTGCCTCCTCAAATTCTCTAGGCAGCTAAGTCTTCATATCCTAAATGGTTGCACCAGGGGCGACATCCCCGGGGAATATACATTCATGTCTGGGGTAAGATCCAGCAGAATTGATTATATGTTGGCGGACAGCGAATTGCTAACAAAAATAGTGAATTTAAAAGTGCTCCCATTCATAGAGGGGGGCCATTTCCCTTTGCACCTCCAGGTCTCCGTTAAACGAGTCACCCTTCCTGAGAACAGTATACCCTGCAGAGATCACCGCATTAGAGCGACCTGGTAGCCAAGTCAAATGGACCCCTGCACTTGACTTCAAACCGAAGAAGATTCTAATCTCTGAAAAACTCCGTACAATTTTAACTGACTTTGGGGATAATCCGAGGCCTGAGGACCCAGTTTCCAAGTATGAGAGCCTGCTCCAACAATTAAAACCCTATCTTTTTAATACCACAGAGAAAAGGCCAACTAAACCAATAACATCAAATAAACCCTGATTTGATTACACCTGCTTTGAGGCAAAGAAAGTCCTGCAAAATGCTTGAGAGCCAGTGTGGTGTAGTGGTTAAGAGCGGTAGTCTCGTAATCTGGGGAACCGGGTTTGCGTCTCCGCTCCTCCACCTGCAGCTGCTGGGTGACCTTGGGCCAGTCACACTTATCTGAAGTCTTTCAGTCCCACTCACCTCACAGAGTCTTTGTTGTGGGGGAGGAAGGGAAAGGAGAATGTTAGGCCGCTTTGAGACTCCTGAAGGGGAGTGAAAGGCAGGATATCAAATCCAAACTCCTCCTCTTCTTCTTCTTCTTCTTCTTCTTCTTCTTCTTCTTCTTCTTCTTCTTCTTCTTCTTCTTCCAAAGCTGCCCTGACAGCCGAAAATTCTGTCAGACATCAAGCCTATCTTGCTGACCGTGCCCTAAAAAAAGAGTATAAAGACCTAATACTCCACCAAAAGAATGCCTATACCAGAAAATGTTGGCTAGAATTAATTAGTGTGACAAAAGCAAAAGATCAGATACTATTCTGGAAATTGGTAGCTTCTGGCACCCATAAAGCTATTTCCCCCTTACCCTCACAAATTCCCCCTAGCCTGTGGGTCTCATTCTTCCAATCTTTGTATGAGGACACTGAACCTCCACTACAGAA